CAAATTTTTCTCGAAACATTATAATACAAATTATCCATTGTATTGACTTATCCGTAAGCCTCTCCAACGTTTTGGATTCTAACATTTTCCGGAGGTCATTGCTGCGGACAGTAACTGTTTGCATCGAGGTTTGCATTCCCAATGAGCCGGTGACGGAAATGAGACGATAAAATTTCGAAGTGTTTTTTCACCCATTAATGGGTAAAAAATATACCCATTATTCAACCGTGAACTGATTCTTTAAATGGGTATTTTTTCACCCATTTTATGATTTCAAAATTCCCCCATTTTTTGACAGCGGCATACATGGTTTGAAAATGGGTATTTTTTTACCCATTAATGGGTTTTCACGAAATACCGTGTATAGCTCATACCGTAGTAGGCTGTGTATAAAAGAAAATGATTAACTTAGTTTGACAGTTGCACCATGACGAAGTGGCAGCGTATTCGTGATATGTCCCACGCGCAAATGTCGCAAAAAGACAAAGTCCCGGTGGACCGTCAAAAGGGTTTTAGACCGAGAAAAGAAAGGACAACTATCCGCGAAGGTGGCCACAGGTCGTCCGAGGTCAGCTCGGGTTCCGAGGGTTATCGCTGCTATCTAAAGGAAGATTCGGGTGAATCCAGTGCGTTCAATAAGGAAAATGGCCTCCTTAATAACGATAAATCAATCAATCAAGGAAAATGGCAAAGGAACACGGGATCAGTGACTTTACGGCACGGAAGATCGTAAAGGAAGATTGCGGGGCGAAGTCGAGGACACGGAAAAAAAACTCACATGATTACCAACCGCATCCGGGAGCTACGAGTCGAACGATGCAAGAAAATCTTGAATTTCCTTATGCGAAAAAATCCGGTATTCCTGTTCACCGACGAGAGCATGTTTACCGTCGATCCTGTATCAAATTCCAGAACCGACCTGTATATTAGTTCTCTTCCGGTAAAGACGTGGCCAACGAGCACAAGAACGTGTATCTGATCAAGCATCCTGCTAGTGTTATGGTGTTTGGATTGGTGGCTTCCGATGGCAAAAAAATGGACCCGGTGTTCATTCCAGAAGGCGGCAAGGTCAACACGGAGGTCTACATCGGGATTTTAAGTAAGTATGTTCTTTCATGGATCAAAGAACAGTACGGTCCGAAGCCAAATGTTGTATTTCAACAATATGGGGCTCCGTGCCACACCTCGAATCGCACTCAGAAGTGATTGCAGGAACATCTTTCGTTCTGGTCGAAGGATATGTGGCCGCCATCCAGCCCCGATCTTAATCCGCTGTATGGTGCGTCATGAAGGCCAAGGCCTGTTCTAAACGCCACCCGAGTACAGCAATCCTCAGACAAACATTGACCCGTACCTGAAGAGAAATGGATCCAGACTACATTATTAGAACCTGCCGTGCATTCCGGAAGCGTGTTGAGGCCGTAATTGCAGCAAGTGGAAACTCGATCGATGATTAACATAGTTTAAGACTCTGAGAAACATTCCCTCTTTGAATAAATGAAATAAACTCGAAAACGAATTTTTTGAGATTTTTTTAAATTTTGACATTGCTCAATGGTGCAAACATTATCACGCATACGGTATTCCATTTTTTGTTCAAACCCGTTCAAAAAAGAGAGGTAAAGCGCGGGTTGTGCTTAGTTGGACGGAAATAAGATCAAAAACCCTCGTATAGGCGCTCGTGTAGACTGTGTTTTGTAGCTTATGAACTAACGCATGGAATAAAAAACGTATTATTGATTTGTGTACGGTGAAATCATTGTTTTCTCCTCGTTAGAACAGAAATGGGCGATTACGACGAAGTATGCTCTACCCTATCGAAAATATTTCTCCAGAAAGTGGGCTGATTTCATTATTACTTGTATTTATGATTGAAATACGTAGCCCAACTGGAAAGAGGCAATATCTGATGTAAAAACTCACCACCGGTCTTGGACAAATTTGTTCTAATGAATAAGACTTATTGAATATGATGGACAGCAATATTCACTCACCATATGACGCTAGTGTGCATTTTGACATCTTAACTTGACAGTACGATTAGGTATAAGTTTGCTGTCTTCAGTTCTGAATGATAAGACCTATCGTATCTCACTCGAAAAAATCACTAACCACTAGTGCCATTTGATACTAATGGCTTGCTTAAGTCGACATCTCGACTAGATAGAAGGTTTATGTCAACACAACCTATTGTATAGTGGATAGCTTAGTTCTAAATACTCACACCAGGCCCGGCGAGTATACGAATTGACTTATAATTACTTACTTTAACTTGAAAGCTCAACTAGATAGATGGTGGCTGTTTTCGACAGAGTACAGATTTACATGACCTATTGTATGGTGGCCAGGTTAGTTGAAAATTTCTTCATCAGTGTTCGAACTGACTTGCTACCTTTGGCCGAGTTGTTCAGATGCACAAGATCTATTGACTGGTGCACAGTTTAGTTCAGAATTCTGTCACCAAGGAATTTTGGTAATTAATTATTATTATTGAAAGTTATTTCGTCCCAACTGGAACTTTGCTTTTGTCTTCAACTTTCATGTCATCTGCTGTTCGTTACATGTAAAACGGAAATTACACGAATGTAACGTATTTGCGTGTTACGTTTTGATTTGTCAGTATACGATTTCATGGCATTCATCAGCGATACAACGCTGGACAAAGTCTTATCAAAATGGTGCCATAATCTTTGCAAATTTAAATACAGCTCTATGCCTTGTGTAAACGAGGAAAGATCAGTTCAAAGTCACAACAATATTTCAATATGAAACAATTTAATTGAAGTTAAGTTTATTGAATTACAGCGTTCGCTATTTTATAAATTTTTGTTTGAACACAGATAAAGAATAAACTCAAATGAGATTCAGTCATAATTTTGCAATATTAAAATGTAATAATATGGTGTGACGTACTTATGTGTATTTTTAACCGGATTGTTATACGAAATGTATCTTAAATAGCTTTTTTCTCTCCAGTTACTGTTAATAAACATTATTCAGCAGGTACTTGAAATTTTTTTGCATACATTTGGAACTTAATTTTGAATGGGATACTCACTGAATTTTAAAATATGAAAATTTAATTCAATTAAACATTTTGAATGTCACCTTATTTCAAAACTTTGAATTTAATGTTTGTTTATTTTAGAATAAAATTTATAAATCAATAATGTTGTAATTATTAATTTAATGTTCAAGCAAAAACCCATCTCGTAGCTCTACGTCAATAATGCGGTCGTGTTCTGGACACAACCATTTTGAATACAATAGAGTCTTACAAATAAACGATTTGGAAAAAATATCTTAATAAATTTACTTAGTGCCAAGACCAAAGCCTAGAATACATTCAAAATAGTTAATTTTAATTATTCCTGGACTGAACGAAAATAAATTGCGCAGCAGTCTACTCAATACTACTACTACTAACTCAATTCTGGGTCTTGGCTAGTTTGCTGCGGTTTTGGATTACTTTTTTATATATCTCAAAACTGTAATAGTTTCTCCGATTCAACCCTCCCTATCCCCTATAGTAGCGTCCTGAAATCATCACAACACAGATGTCACATTGCTGTGCCTACAGAATATTTCAGAAGAATATCCTTAAAGTTGCAGGTTTCGATAGGAAATAAAAATATGGGACGGCAAACAATTTTCACTCAATTTCAAGAACCACTTAGACTTTCATCCTCTCGAACGCATGTCTCATGCCCTTGTGCAATCTTTAAAGATGTATGGATTCACTTAATTTCACGCTTACTAAGTAGACATGCTTCAGTGCCATCCAGTAGAGATGGCTTTCATTGTGTGTCATCGTCTGAGCTCAGGCAGGCAATATCCTGTGCCAGTTTCAAACGGGCGGCAACCTACCGTTCGAGAAGGGGGTTTAATTTTTATCCCATTTTCCCATACACATCTAGGGCACGGTCGGTGCTACGATGGCAATGGGGTGGGAAGGTTCCATTATAAAGAAAAAGAGAAATCATCAGCTCAACCTTCACTCTTACTCGTTTCTTTTTTTTTTCGGGCGCTCGTCAAGATGAAACAGTTGTGACATTTGCTGTCACAAGTCGCGCGTCATCCAAAATCTGCCATTGCTCGTACAATAGAAAGTCCTACGATATTTACGCTGCGAACAGGCATGCGGATTGGGTGGGAAAAATTGTGAAGGACAACGTGGTGTCAGGCTAATGAAACTTTTTGTAAGACTTGTCAAGCGTGTAGGAATGAAAACGAATGGCAAATTCTATTTTGGATCCTATTCAAATGCCGCTGGCTGCTATTCAAATGTACTGTTGACATGTGGCGCAATCTTCCGGAGAGGAATAGAAAATAATTGGGAGGGAATATACGTGGCTAAGCTCAGTTCAGAAATTGTGACAATTCATAAGAGAGATAGATATTCGGTAAAATGGTTTCAAGAACGAGCACCAATCAGCTGAGTATCGACCAATCGTTTGCACTCATGATATACCCTTCCACCTTCCGCCATTTTGGAGGACATGCCACGTCGGTCGTATTGGTCGCAATAATAAGTACTCTCGAGACGCCGTGCTCGCAATACCAATTTAATTTCAGTACCCGTCATGAATTTCTATGACATGCGATGCCACGGCGCGTACCGGTCGGTAGGGCAAGGCATAAAGATAGCGGGAGATTCATTCTTAGGGTTTAATGGCAATTTAATGAGCAATTTTCCCAAGGCATTCATATCATATAGCGATTCGCAATACGTGATGGTGGCGTTGCTTCGCTTCGAACATCTTCAACTAGATAGGTACCCTATAGCTTGCTCGTTTTCTATGAAGAGTGGGGCATCGCAGAATGAATATTTCTTGCCGTTGATTGCATACTATTTCTAACTGTTGGCGGTACTGTTTAAGCTCGAGCAGTTGCCACTAAAGTTAAACCAACTTTTAATGATATTCTCTTTGCTTTACGTCGTCGTACCAGAGTACACCTAATAATGTTCTATTTCTGTTTCTCCTTCTCCAATCCCGCAGGTGTATCCAGGTCGAGATATCACGAATATCGTCGAATCGTCTCACTATCAGAAAATCGGTGGCTGGTGCCGGCAGGGTGCACTAAACTCAGCCAAGTGTAAAGGTGCTCAGCGATGGATCAAGCCATTTAGATGTTTGGGTAAGTGCCAGCGAACAACAATGTTGGAATCGGTGCTGTATGTGTTTCACGAGGACATCGCCGAATCAAAGCAAATCCCACCCATTCCACTGAGTTTCCTTTTGCCTTCGCAGCACAATCTTTATCACTCTAGCAGTAGTGCTTCGTTGACCTAACAGGATGCATTGGAACTTTCCATATCTGAAATTAAATTCAATTTATCTCGTGCTTTAATCTAGAACGCCACCAGCGTTTGGCGCTCGCTGTAGAAGTAATTTCGTTAATTTTTGTTGTCTCCTTTTTTCGAGCAGAGGGACAATGTTGTCTCACTGAAATAGTTTATCTGTTGTCGTTATTGCTTTCAGCCTTGGCCAGGCTCAAACCGAAATAGTTGTGTTCCTTTCATGTAAATTATTTAGCTGCAATATTGCATTAGTTCAACATGCATTTGTCATATGTGCACACTGGTTGCCGTGATTATTTTTTCGAACATTTCTCATGCTAATTTTCATATCATGTTGATCATGTGTATCACTTAAAAAAAACTAACCCTAGTCGGTATAGAAATCCGGGATCTTCCGAATTCGATGCGAGTTCGATTCAATTGTCATATTCTACTTTATATGCTTATAACACTTTTAGTTTTATTTCAAAACAGAAGTACTGCCAGTTCTGAAAATACTGTTTAACAAACTTACTCTAGATTTTAAAGATTTTTATTTAAGAATTAAGACTTCTGGAATTTCGAAAAATGCCGGAGTTGACTAAAAGTTCATACGTCTTGATGTTTTGAGAAATAGAGTTTTTAGAGCCCCAAGTGGATTTAAAACTTCCGATAATCCTATGACTACGAGGACATAAAATGATTTCAATGACTTCCAAAACTCCCCATGTTGTACAAATTTTCAGGATTTCAAAAATTTCAGCAACTTTTACAAATACCAACTTTTTAAGTGAGTCCAAGGTTTCAAGCTCTTTGAGAGTTTTACAATCTTCCAGTATCTTTGGAAAATGATGGTACCTCCAGTTTTTTTGGAACCTCTTGAAACTCCTAATACTGCATACTTAATCATTAACAATATAAAGAACTTAAATCTTTATTTTTAAAAACTTTTAAAACATGCACAATAAAAAAAACACTATAGTGATTCCGTAACCAGCAAACACTATTAAAACTCCAGGAGCTTCTTGAGCTCCAGCTATACTTATGAACTATCAGAAACCAAAAACTTAAATTGTTCATGACTACAGCAATAGTTGAGATCCCAGCACATTGAGGATTGAAAGAACTTTCAGAAAACGTGGAGAGGGATGGTGAGGGGTGTCGGTAGAATTGTTTCAAACACATCGTTGGTACTTTAGCGGTCGGCGTTTATCTCTTTTTGCCAGTGGTGGCGGGGGGCTATCTACTATCTATATGCAATTTTCACACTGCCGTACTCTAACGGAACTATCAACTCTATGCTTTCATCTCCTCCATCTATCGTATAAAAATTACCACTTTAGTCTGTTATTTGAAATTAGCATCTTCAACTATCTATTAAATTGTTGTACTCTGAAAACATCTTAAACATCCGGCTTCTCTTAGAAATCCAGGAATTCGATCTCCAGATTATCCTTTAGAGCTCTTGAAAATTTAATAAAAGAACTTTTGATCTCTTGGAATATTACGTACTGCGAGAATTCCTGGAATTTCTGGAACTCTTACAACTCTTCTAAATTCTTGTAAATTTAAATGTTGAAAACATAATTTCAGAACTTCTGGAATATTTCGATTCTCATCCATATTTAGAATCTCTGAAATCTCTAAGTCTTAGTCTATAAAAACTGCAGAACTCCTGGAACATTGTAAACTGTAAGAACTGATAGAGCCACTACATTTCCTGCAAACGTTTAAACTCTTTGCAATTTCAACAAATTCAGATACTTAAATTTACGAAACTCAAATAAAAGAACTATATAACTCTTAGGTCGTTCGTAATGCTGAGTTGCAGTTTCATTATTCCGGCACTATTTTGTACCAGATTTGCAACTACTCGACTTTTTTATATTATTTTTGAGCAGTTTGAAACACAGTTTTAGGAAATTCTGAGAAGTTTACGGATTTTTCATTGAATTTCGGAGAACTTCATAAAAATACGAATAGTTTCAGAAAAAAAATTGGGAACAGTAGAAAACAGTAAACTTTATAAAATTTGTATTTTATAAAAGTTTCATGGAGTATCATGAAGCTCAGGTGATTTCATAGAAGTGAGAGGTATTTTATAAAAGATCGAGGATCATCATAGAAGTTCTGGGTTTCTTATAGTTTACTATAGAACTTCATGTAAATTAATGGAAACTCACAGAATTTCTTGAACGCGCTTGCATCTTTTACATCAAACAGATATTCTCTCATATGATACCAGGCTGCTCAGAAATTATTCCAACGATCTTCAGTCCTCGTAATATTCTTTCAAGTCTTCAGGCTGATCAGGTATTATTATAATCTTAAACTATTCTACAATTCAAATCACGTTTATTACATGAAACCAGATAGCTCGGGAATTATTCCCAAGACCATCAGACATCTCTGTGATAACCTCAAGATACTTTTTCAAGACTTCAGGTTGATCAGGTATCATTCTAAAAATATTAAACTATCCAACAATCCAAATCACATCTCTCAGATATTCTCTCATATGATACCAGATAGCTCAAAAATTATTCCAAATACCTTCAGGTGATCAGAGATCTCGCAAGCTTATTGCATACTGTACGCGCCACGCACTAATTTCCGGACATACGCAGGCTTTCTTGACGGCACTGGTGGCCTCTGGGCCCAAAAGCGTATCTGCAGCACGTTGAATCAAAAAATAAACGTCACGATGGAGTTGAACGAAGGCGTTCGCTTCCCACACACGCGGCGATGGGGTTTTCCTACACCCAGAACTTGATCGTTGCTCGCCCTCTTTTTCACTAAAGATAGGCCGACGCACATATGGTCAAGTTCTCACCATCAACGGCTAAGTTAGTTTGGGACTTAGTGGAAACTTTCCTCGACCACACAACCGAAGTGACAAAGTGTCTTGCTAAAACGGCACTTAGCAAAAACCACACGGCGGACACCGACCTCGGTCAACAAAGAGGAAATCTTTCGGATCACTTAAAAAAATAGCGTTTCTCGTTGGAACGTTTATATTTCCCGATGGCAACTAACTCTACGTACATAAATGATCGCAGTTTTAAACTGCTTTTGCTTTCTGCTCTGCATGTATGTATGTGTTTGAAAGGAAAAAGATCGGGATCGAGTAGTATAATCGCAATCGGTGTATTTGCATGTTTGCTTTGTGTGATTTGTTTGTAGTTCGTAGGTACCAGTATATAAGAAATTAGATCTGTTTCGTTGTTTGTAAGGTAGACAGCAAATAATGTCTCTAGGTTAAGTTAGATGTAAGAAATTCAATTTACTTCTAGGAACAAATTTTACTTTTAAGCTATTAGATAAGTTTAGGTTTAGATCAGTACCTAACACATACTCTCAACTTAGTATTCTAGATACACTTCCACAGTTGTTTATAGAGAGCTTTCTATGCCTGTCCCATTTTTGCATTAGTATAATTGTGTGGCAAGTACAATCATATACTATTCCCAGAAAAGTTGAGAAAAATGTCTAACCAAAACTGGAAATCGAACCCAGCCACCTCCAGCATGGTCTTGCTTCGTTACTATGCGAATGAGCTAAGGGAAGTTTACCAACTATAATTTTGAAGATCTTCAACTGTCCAACAATCACGTATCTCAAATATTTTCCCACGATACCAAATAGCTAAGAAATTGTTTCAAAGACCATCAGGTGATCAGCGATCTCAATCAATAATCATTAATCCAAGTTACATCGCTATGATATTTTCTAATATGATATCAAGTGACACATAACATATGTCATAACCGTTCACGTAGTCAGAGATCTCCATAAAGTACTCAGGCTATTTTTTCATTAGGTTGTTCAGGTACTATTCTGAAGTCATCTGGTTAATCAGGTACTATTCTGAAGATTGCAAACTATTCAACAAATCAAATAATGTCTCTCAGTTATTCTCCCAGGAAACCAGATGACTTCTATTTTTTCAAAGGTCTTCATGTGCTTGGAGATCTTCAAAAACTTCTCTGGATATGTTTTCAATACTTCTGATTGACCAATTATTCTGAAGATCTTCAACTATCCGATATTCAGATATTCTCTTATGATAGCAGGTTGCTCAGAAATTATTCCAAATCACTGGAAATTCATCGAAGCAAACAAACTTTGAACACGCACACATATGTAGGAACGAATACCAAACATCTTTTAAAACTGTGCGTTGTGCTGAAGGTGTTGCAATTTCACTTTTGACAGTTTCAAATCTTAGAACTATCGAGTATAGTAGTTTGAAACAATTTTGAAACTCAGCATTGCGAACGGCATTAGAGATTCAGGTTCTTACTAATACCAATACTAAAGATTTGTAAATTCCCTCAACTACATGAAACTCAAGAATTGCAGGAACTTTTAGAACTCTGGTAACTCCTGGTACTCCAGCAGCCCTAAAAATCCCGAGAAAATAAATTTGGGCTGGATGAGAATCTTCAAATCTTTAAATATCTTCAAATCTCAAGTAATTATTATGAAGTGCAAGTAATTTCAAATGGAATTTCTGGAATTTCGAAATTCTTAAAACTCTTAAGACTCCAACCACTCTGCAAAATTTTAAAGGTATCCCGAGAAACTTTTCGATCTTCTGAAATGCTTAGAGCTTCCTTAGGGTTCTCCATGAAATTGTGACACTCTACAACTACAAGAACTGCAGAATGCCAGGAACATTCGAAACTCCATCAACTAAAGAATGCAACTGAACTGAAACCCTAGAGCTCATGACAATTCCAGGAAATTACGATACTCTAAAAACACTGATAACTCGGTGTTCCGGCGCTTCAGTCAACGAAAGTGCGTTGATTTTCTGATATAATCGCCAACTTTTCGGTCTTAGGTTCGGATCTTC